GCACACAAGTCTTTTTTGTCAATAAGGTTTGAACTGAAACACTGTTTCCCAAAAGCAAGGACTCACAATGAATTACTAAGGCTGTTAAGGAACAATACAAAACACACTTGATAAGCATTAAAACGAGCAAAAACAACTCAAATATTTCTTTTTTTATTTTCAACCCCTCAAAGAATCCAGAATCCCCACAGTCTTTTAAAAGTGTGACTTCCAGAGCTGGAAAGATCATGAAAAATCTGTAAAATCTTAAAACGCCACGGTTTTTATAATCAAAACGCACTTTTCTAGTTACGCCAAGCTCTAAAATATTTTATTGGGTAAAAATTGTGAGTAAAAAACCTCAAAGAATCCAGAATCCCCACAGTCTTTTAAAAGTGTGACTTCCAGAGCTGGAAAGATCATGGAAAAATCTGTAAAATCTTAAAACGCCACAGTTTTTATAATCAAAACGCACTTTTCTAGTTACGCCAAGCTCTAAAATATTTTATTGGGTAAAAATTGTGAGTAAAAATTTTTTTTCAAAAATGATTGTCCCTAATTGTTATCCAGTAAATCACAAACGACTGGAAAGTCATGCAAATTGATTGTTTAAAAAGACTGAAAACCTTGACAAACATTCAGCTCTTAAAACGTGGATGGTATTGCGGTATCCAGTCGTAAAAATGGAATGTGCTGTTTAACACGGAATGTCAAAGATTTTGGACATTTTGGAAGAATAGATCCAATCAAAAGTAGGGCTATAATCACACTGCAATATAAGCATGTGAATATTAAACTGCAAAAAGACTGCTATTTAATATGAAGTCTGCATGTAACTGTACACACAGAAACTCAAAGCTCTTCACTACAACCTGACAAAATAAAAGTTTGGCTTAACTTAAATTATAGCTGAAATATATTATTATTATACAGTAGAATCCATTCAGAAAAATAATTAAAGATAATAATAATACAGTTTATTAAAACATTTTTTTTTAAGGAATATCCCACAATTTTTGCCAATGTTTTAATTTAAACCAAAACCTGTTATGCAGCACTTTGCCAAAAAACAAAACAAACTAAACAAAGGAACTGTTCAAATGTCATTTGATTACATTTTAAACGATTAATTAAATTGTTAGTTTTATGTATTAATTTATTACCACCGTTTTTGATAATAAATCTATTCAACAATAAAACACAGAATCCAAAAAAAAAAACACTTTTGAAAATAAATACACATTTCATATGCCACTATTATTGTTCAAATTAATAAATTATTAAATTGTTACAATTTTATGAATTCTGTTTATATCATTTTTTAATATAACATTTTTATCAATCTTGGATTTTTAGAATGGATTTCAGAAAAATTACAATAAACTGGATTTTGTTTCCACTGATCTAGACTGTTATCCATTTACATTAGCCATCGGGATGAAGGACAGAACTTCTGCCGATCTTCTGCCGGGCTCACGTGGTACGAAAGCACTACGGTTTCTTCAGAAAACTAGCTTTATGATTAACTCTGAACACAGCTGAGCGACTGACTAAACTGCATTCCTTCTTAAAGACAAACCCCTGAGCCTTTCATTCTGTCATGCGCAGTTTGTTTAATGAAGCTTTACATCTTTGTAGGACAGAAGCTCAAGATCTTACAATAACCTTCGCCTGACTTCACATTAGTTAACTCAACTCAACTGGCCTATGCGGTTGTTCATAAGTTTCCTAACCGTGTGGAGTGGATCTGTAAATCTGTGGTACAGGTACGAGCGTGTCGGTTTGCCAGAGGCTCGCACGCTCAGCACTGAGACTGAAACACATAGTTCAGGTTACACACTGAGTCTCAACAACAGCCTCTATTCTCAAAACAAACTGCACGCAACAAGCCATTCGCTTCAGTTTTCCTGCTTTAGATCTTAACTGGCGGGTCACGACCCAAAAACTGGTCACAGGTCTGTTCTGGAGGCAAAAAAATGCAAAACATAAGATGCTACAAATCATATAATCATGCATATTTATAATAGCAGAATAAAGACGGTAACATTTTACTTGAGGCCTTTCAAGTGCATTTTATAGCTATTTATAATGCATTATATCTTTTCATAAATAATAACCAAAATTAAATGCATTATGATATATGCAGACTCCTTGTCGCATCTGAAACTGGTTGTTTGGCATGTTTTAATGCATTATATTTAAAGGTGTGACAATGAATAGATAAGTGTTATAATGCGTTATTACGTATTATGAAGTATTATAAAGAAGTAACTGTGGTTACAATTATTCATGAGCTCATGCAATGCAAAAATGTGCATTATAATCATGCACAAAAATGTGCATAAGTCATCAAATTAATGCATTTAATATACTTTGATAATGCATTACATATAAAGGCTCGAAGTGAAGTTTTTTAAGCGAGGAAAAAATCTGGCAATATTAATAAACGTCAGTGTTTGATTTTCAGGACATTTTTATATACTTTCATAAGACAAACTGTTTAGTTCTGTATTGGGTCACTAGAAAAAAAACAGTTAAACAACACTAATCTACAATATGACTATAACAAGATCCAGTGCAGCATTATCAACCAGACACCGGAGAACAAACGCGAGAACGTCTGATTCCTGGAACATGTTCAGCAGCGCATATTTGATGTGCTTCCTCCCATAATGTTTCCTTCCTGTGATTCCCTGATATGCTTCTACGGAGCTTTAAATGCATTTGTTTGTCCATATCTGACTGTGATCTCAGACGGAATGACGTGTGGTTTATTTTTCAGGATAAGCTCTGATCTGAGAGCAGGTTTAACGTGGGCGGATCAGTGATCAGAGCCTTACTCCAAACCACCTGCAGCAATTCCACTCCAAACACACGAGAACATGCAAAAGAGCAGCAGCAGCACTATGTCATCTGTCTGCACTGTAAACACACACTGCGCACAGTACAAAAAACTAATCAGATCTCATTTCGAATATAAAATCGCTCACTTGGGAGCATTTCTTCTTAAGAGGAATGAGATTAAATGGAGAGCTAATGGAAAATATGGCATAGGTCTCCTGCTTCTCAGATGTTTCTCCTGGGATAAGACCTCAGTCATTTTGTTTATGTCTCTTCAGTTTCAGAATTGCCAGATCAAGAGGATTTTGATTCTATTCGCATATGTTGCCCTTTCAAAGCTCAGGAGTCATAAATGAGTTTTTAATTTATGTTTCAAGTGTAAACGTTCAGATGTTTCTCCTAAACACCCAGATCATTTGGTCTGGGAAAAATATAACGAGAAATATTTGAGCTCATATTGAGATATAATAAAAATAACAAATGTGACCCTGGAGCACAAAAGCAGTGTTAAGTCGCTGGGGTATATTTGTAGCAATAGCCAAAAATAGATTATGGGTCAAAATTATAGATTTTTCTTTTATGCCAAAAATCATTAGGATATTAAGTAAAGATCATATATATATATATATCAAAACTTAATTTTTGATTAGTAATATGCATTGCTAAGAACTTCATTTGGACAACTTTAAAGATGATTTTCTCAATATTTTGATTTTGTTGCACCCTCAGATTCCAGATTTTCAAATAGTTGTATCTCGACCAAATATTGTCCGATCCTAACAAACCATACATCAGTGGAAATCTTATTTATGCATTTATGACTGGTTTTGTGGTCCAGGGTCACATTTCTCATCAGATGATCTGAGCTGTGCGTTTTACAGCTCTGTTCTCTTACTGTATGTGTGCGTTTTCATTTCTTCTTAGAAGAAACATCCGATACACTGTTCTTATTTGAATGAAACATAACCGAGACCTCCATTAAGTCTCTCATCATCTTCTCATTAGAGCTACAGCAGGAATATCTAACTGGAAAGCTCCCATCTCAACACTACAGTAATAATGGACGTCAACAGACAGAAGGGATGATCATGTGACGGTGGCACACGGTCTGAATCCGTGATGAACAGGAATGCTGAGTGCGGAAAACTGCGGCTAAAAAACAGGATTAGCAGCCGAGCACTGATCGAGCAGCACAGCAGAGCCCTAAAATCAAGCCCACGGGACCTGAAAGAGACCCCCTGTCTGTGTGGATATTCTACAAGAACAGCTGTCAACACTTCAGAGCATTATTACTCAGACTGACTTTGAGTTCGCATTTGAAGGACACACTCGTACTGACATTCAATATTAACACTCATAACGAACAAATAAATACATACTCGGAGTCCAACCGCACGAATACAAACCACAGTACGATCTGTGCAAATAAACATCTCATATTCTATGAAATCATATTTAATATTAATGAATAGGAACAAACCAGTCTTTATCCATCTACACTTAAAATGAACAGAAGATTAATAATCTGACCCTTATTATACTTAAAATACTGTGGCATAACACAGAAATTCATAACTCATGGTATTTAATTGGTTCTTCTAGGAGTATCATGGCACTACTATGGTACATATCAAAACAAAACATGGTAAAAAGTGATATTGTATCTGTATATAGATTATTTTGTGTATAAATGTTTAAATATTTTGCCTCTCTTGTCTATTATGTACATATGTTACATATGCAATCTAATATATATATATAACTAAACTCTTATGCCATATATATATATATATATATATATATATATAGCAGTACCATGATTCAGTGATCAGATGGTTAAACCATGGTATTTTAATATACTATCGTCACTAATTGTGACTTTCCATTGTATGTTCTCACAGCATATGGAAATAATCTAAAAATAAATAATCGAAACATTATAGCACTTAGAACAGAAGTGCAATGGCAGTCAAATAATCAGAGATTGTATGAAATGGGAACACCATGGTACTGTCTGATTCGCGTATTCATAAACCTGGTACTCTCAGGCACTTCCAACATGACTGCATTGTAAAATAATATTTTTTAAATGTATTTTTTTTTATGGAAACGCAACTTATATGCATTAAATCGATCCGTATGTGAAACACAAGCGTGGAGGTAAAAGATCCTCCGCGTACCGAGCTCTGCAGCATCCATCCCGCATCCCTCGCCGAGCACCGCGTCCGCGTCCTCCGGCAGCGCGGAACATCCTCCGGCCGCGGCTCCCTCCATCGGATCCGGATCAAACGGGCCGTCGAGCGTTCAAACGAATCGAATGAAGGGGAAACGGAGCGTGCGTCATGATCTGGGTCCGAGGCGCGGTGTGTGTGCGTGTCTGCCGCACAGCGCTCGATCAGATGTGTGTGAGTACACACACACACACACACACACACTCTCACACACACACTCTCACACACACACTCTCACACACACACTCTCACACACACACTCTCACACACACACTCTCACACACACACTCTCACACTCTCACACTCTCACACACACACACACACACTCTCACACTCTCACACACACTCACACACACGATCCGCTACGCCAGCAGTGACGTCACCGGGCCCGGAGAGCTACGACGTCATCAGAGTATCGCCTTCCAAAGTGACGTCAGCCAGAGAGGAATTTACATATACTGCGCATGAAGCCACTTCATTTAAATATAATTATAATCATTTTAGGTTTAAGGCATTTCAAAGCACATAAGTCCAATAGATTAAACATTTAGAGGAAAATGACATTAAAAAAGAAAATAAAACTTAATTTTTAAAGGGAAAATAGGGAAAATCCGCCCTCTATCGGATAACTCTCAAACTACAACACACCTGAAAAACCACACACACACACACACACACACACACAAGTTCAGGACGCTTATCAACTAGTTAAGTTATTTATTAGTGACTATCAAGACACTTCTTACATGGAGGGTCAGAAAGCAACCAGAGCTCAAGCAGGTTTATTACTATTAACTAAACCTATTAAATAATAATTAAAAAAATTATATATATATATATATATATATATATATATATATATATATAT